TGGCGGCCAATTTGCGCACCACTGCCACCGGCAGATCCACTCGACACCTGTCGGCCAATCGGAGCAAATAAATGAGACAATCGCTGAGCTCGTCCTCCAGAGCGTGGCGTTCAGTGGGTGTCCAGTCCTGAAGACCGACGGGACACTCGCCGCGCCATTGGAACAGTTCGGCCAACTCTCCCACTTCGCCGACGAGCGCCAACAGTACGTTACGCGGGCTGTGGAACTGATCCCAATCTCTGTCGGCCACAAACTTGGTGTGCATTTTATGCATCTCTTCGAGTGTCGGCCGATCGCTGAACGCGAAGTGATGGCCACCACTACTGTGTCCGCCATCACTACCGCCCGCCGCCGAGCCGTCGCTGTCGGCGGCCGCCGAGTGTTGGCCACCGTTCACTCCTGAGGTCGGTGTCTGGTCTTGAGATGCCGGTGGTGTGGGTCCGCTATCGGCGGCCAATTGCTTGTGTTGTACGCTATCGTCCGCATCGTGTGGTCTCTTCACTGGTCCACCGGTGATAGTGTTGTGGTTATTGTCTTCGGTTGTGGCCATTGTTGGCTGAGATCGGGTGTGTTTTATGGCCGCAAAGAGTGGACACGTGTTTTGACGGCTAATTACTGGCAATTCATACGAGTTTTGTGCGAAACATGTGTTTCTCAACGCATTAGTCAATAGACGGCGTGTTTTGAACATTGCTTTCACTTTCAATGCGTTTTCAATACGTTTATTGAATGCACTGTTTGTATGCAATGAATGTACAATTTGTACACTTTTCGTATAGTAAACACCCGTTATTAGCACTATGCAAGTACTAGATGATTGTGCTGGTTCAGTTGATCCAGGTTAAACTGAAATAAACTGTATTAATTAGCTGTAATTATGGTTGATTTGTGAATCAAAACACTGGTATCAAGTTTCCTAAACATGACTATTATCTATATTTTGGGCACGTTTTTGATGTATTGGCAAACCTTTTAAGTATTAAACAACACTATTGTGTGTAAAAAGTAGTAATAATAACGTCCGACACGATTGAGACCCTCTTTTCAAACCACTGTTTGGAAAATTTAATGTGAATTAAATGTGAAAACTTTGTTTTTAATCACAGATTAAATTACAGTTTATTTAATTTAAAAAACAATATAAAAACGAAAAACACATGTTTTCTATATATGTATATATAAATAGGGGTAAAAACACAAAACAACCTAGATGCAGATCTAGATGCAGATCTAAATGCAGAGATTCTCAGCGACGGCTAAATTCCATAAGAAATTCTCTAAATTGGGATTCAATTTCCTCTCTTTGAGCGCTTCCAAGGTTAAAGTCGGGCCGACTGTGGTCTCGGGGGACAACACTTCTTCCTCCCCAACCGACCCCTCTCTCGCGGGACTACTTTTGGCCGAAGCGGTTGCCATCCGTTTCAGTGTTTCAATGAGTTCGCGATTCTTATCACAGATGTCTTGAATGAGATCCCAATTGGTGTTCGTCTCTCTGTCGGCCTGTCTGGTCATGAAAACGGCGATCTCTTTATGGGTTTTGGTCATCGCGAACGCATCCCTCGACCCGTGCGAGACAGTGATCTCAATGGCCGCCAAATTCACGTATATATCGTACAAATCGGTACGACTCTCGACATCGGTGTCCAGAAAGCCGGCGATATAATGGCGACGAGCCGTGAGATCGCCAATCTCTGCCGGCGACTGGAGCTCAACGCACGGGTAGAGTATTTGATAGCAATCGGGCCATCGGTGCCAAACAAACGCCGGCAATACGCGCACAAACTGTAACAGTGTGTCCAACTTGTGGTGATAGACAACGACCCGGCGTTTCAGTATCAGCGCTGTGTAGATGAGTATGACGTCCAGACCGAACATCTTGATCACCGATTTGATCCCTATCGGTGACCGGTTGTGTACAACGGCGGGCGCCACCGATTCGTAGTCATCGAGATTGAAACGCTTACAGTTGTTCATCTGGTCCTCCGACACAGTGAACGAGCCGTGGATCAAGAGAGTCAGATAATAGGCTAAGAGCCGCTGTATTTCACCCGTTTTGACGTATATTTTGACAAATATTTTGGTCAACATTTCGTATTTCTCCGGATTAAAGTCTTTGGCCGCTATCACTATCGAGAACTGTTTCGCTGGCGACACAGCCGGTCCGGTCTGTAGCGGCGCTTCCGACGAGTGTCTGTAGATCCAGACGTTGTCGAAGTGGTGGTAATGGAAACGGTGTTCGGTTCCAACACCTGTGACGGGCGGCAATCAAATGATCGTTAGTTTTGTTTTAAATGACATGATATTTAATGTGAATATTTCTCAAACCCGAGTGGGTGTCCGACAGGTGGTCGTCGTTGAGCTGTTTCTCGACATACGATCGCAACGTGTGTCCAATGGATGGAAACGTCCACTTCATCGACAGACTGTTCTGCAGCTGATTCTCAAACACGTGAATCGATTGTAATTGTTGTACGGCTTTAGTGGAGGTCATGGTTGCGGCGGCGGTCGTGGGGTGTTATCCGCCGATTCCCTGTATAACTATGTAGTGATGTGTTGTGTGACCGGTTGTGTGGATCGGGTCCACGAGTCTCACGATATATACATCGATACACCTGTTTGTGATGGACTGTTGTGTATCTGATCTGCAAAACAAACCATAAAATCGATTGATATTTAAGTCGATGACAAACCACCAGATGATGTACAGCAGCTCATAGTATAGAAATTGTATACTGTACATAATGTATGTATACTTTGGATGTTTTATCAGTGAAATATTTTGATGAATATAAAGTTTTACATTAAATTTTATTAATTTAGAGGTATCTTATAATTGGGAAGTTTTTTGTTTAATATTATTTGAAATGTTGTTCCCATTGTTTCAAAGGTTTAGTGAAATTAATACATAGTTGTAAGGAAATATTAGTTGTAAAATGTGAAATGTTTATGTGCACCTACTAGAATTTAGTACTTGCTTACTTGTTTCTATAGATAATGGTAATTTGAATTTGTTTTCGAATTTTACTGCTAAAAAGTCATATTTTTAGCTTTAATTGCAATATTTCTATTAATTTTGGTTATTATAATCAGGAATAACAGATGGGATTGAGATTTTGCTAAATGAATTATATTCTAGAGATATTTCTTATTTTTAAACTAATTGATTGTATATTTAGCAAAACTAGGTAATAATTTACGGTAATTTTTACACGTGATAAATTTAAACTAAATTGTTACTAAATTAAATATTGAATTTTTAACTTTTATATTTAAATATGAATATAAAAGTCATTTGGAGATTAAAGTAATAGTTAATCACCAGGGTATTCATGAGATGTACAGTCTTAGCAAATATAAATTGAGTTTTTTATATAATGAACAGATGTGTTATCAGAAAGATATTGCTATTCACGTGTAGTTTTACTTTAGATTTGAGTTTTCTCTTATTCTGTGATCGAAATATGAGACAAAAACTTGTTTTCTCTTTTATTTTACTCTTTTTTTAATATATTTTCTCTTTTCTTTGCCATTAGTTTTAAATTTCTAATGAATTTTATTAGTTATTTTGTTTGACGAAAAAATGTTTGATAAAATATATATTTTTTATTTTTAAGTAATACTATTCCTTTAATATAGTTTTTTCTTTTTGTTTTTCTCTATATTTGAAAAACATTTTACGAGTCTCTCTCTCTCTCTCTCTCTCTCTCTCTCTCTTCTAATTGAAAAGTTTATGCCTTTTTATAAGTGAATAATGTTTTTATGTATACATAAGAAAAGTGTATTCTCTCTCTCGTCGTAATATTGAGGAAACTTTTTGCACGATTTTATCGCAATTTTTGTAATTCAACTTTTTTCTGGCGTTGTTTTTCTGTTGATTGAAATAAATATCAATTACAGCAAAGAAAATATATATAAAAATAGTATTAAAATATTATAAATGTTTAGCGAAACGCGATTTTAGAGCGAAGTTTTAGTTTTTCAGGAAAAAGTTTTTCAAAAGTGTATTTTAATACGAATTTTATCTAAATTTTATGCTTAAAAATTGATTATAATTTTTGTTAAGCGCAAAGTGAATGCGAAATAATAATAATGCGTTTTCTCTATGCTTTTTAAAGACTAATTCGTATAATATTTTAATATTAACGCAATTTTCAGAGTTTGTAGAGAGAGAGAGAGAGAGAATACACTTTTCTTATGTATACATAAAAACATTATTCACTTTGGATGTTTTATCAGTGAAATATTTTGATGAATATAAAGTTTTACATTGAATTTTACTTAATTTTTAGACATAATTTTGTGTTGTGTTTAAAATATATTGTTTTCTTTACTCTAAATGTGTTATTAATTATATCTACGGAGAAATATTGAGAGAGAGAGAGAGAGAGAGAGAGAGAATGTCTAAAAAATTGTTGAATATTTTCTTCGCTGTGTAATTGAAAAGACTATGTATTGAAGGTCTTTATGAATATATTCCCATAGTTTGCATAAAATTCAGCATTTTTTGAATCTTCATTGAATATACTTTATGCATATTTTTTGTCAGTAAAATTTTTCACTAATATATTGTGAATGAAATCTCCCGCTTATAGTGAAGGGCATTGGATATTATGAATACATTATAAAATTCGCTGTATATTCACTAGTAATGCGAAAAATATATGCATTTTTTGTGAAGAATTTATTATTTTCAGATTTCGGAGATAGTTTTGTCTTAACTGGAAAAGTATTTTTGAAATATATATCTTTAATATATTCATAGGAAAAAATGATTATGATAATTTTGTTTTTCGTTTTATATTCAAAACTCATAGTAAAATCCAAAAATAAAATAAAATTTTTTAATTGCCTGTAATTTACTATCAGTTTTTAGTTGTTGGTATTTTTCGTTAGTGTACACTCTGTTTGTGTGAACCCATTGCAAAGGGTTGTATAATACTCTGTATATGGATATAATGTTTATAGAGATTCAGACCAGCTTTGCATATGAAACACATAAAAACTAAAATTTTTATGCAATGTTTTAGACGGCGTTTCTAACTATACGGTAGTCTTCATCGAAACACATAAAGCCATTAGTTATTCAAATTAGTCTCAAAGAGTTTTCTCTCCTATATATGCAAACATTCACTATTTATTTCTCTCTCTCTCTCTCTCTCTCTCTCTCTCTCTCTCTCCAAAATATACAGTTATTTAGTTTTTTATGCTAACCTTTAATTTGAAGTTATATATTAAACGACACAGACTTTTCACTAGAAAATATTTAATTGCAGAGAAACTGTTTTGTATATACAATCTGTCCGTAGATATAAACCAACAGAATATATACAGTATTTATCAACGAATCACTTCCTGAAACTGCACAAAATTTTTCACTTTTAATTTAATGTCATAACTATTACAAGAAAAAACAAAAAACAGTACCGAAACGGCAATAAATTGATTGCAAAGTTTGCGCTACAATTAAAAAATTGCATATATTTTTTCAATTTATTATAATTATTATTGCTCTCAGATTTAGGTCTCAATGTAATGCAAATTTTTGGCTCAAATATTATATGTATTTTACTCTCTGTGTATATATTATTATTATATGTTTTTCTCAATGATTAATATTTGGCAATTTTTTAGATAAAACTTCATAATTAGTTACAAAATAATAATAACTAAAAAAGTTAAATACGAAATATATATATACTGTATATAAATCATATATCATATGTCAGTGTATTTTGCGACCCAATAATCATTCAATGATAACGATTCCCATAAAGAAAATGCGATACAATTTTCTCCTGTGTTTGTAATAAATAATTATTTTTCTTACTTTTTTCAATGCTTTTGAAGCGAATATTTTCTCTTTTGCCTCTAATTTGAATGAAATTTATTTATGATTTTCTATTTATTTGTTAAATTGTTTTTTGCTGTTTTGTGTTGTGTTTTAAAATATATTATTTTCTTTACTCTAAATGTGTTATTAATTATATCTACGGAGAAATATTGGGTGAGAGAGAGAGAGAGAGAGAGAGAGAGAGATGCATATCTCGTTTGTTGTTTAATAATAATGAATAAATTATAAAAATTTCTCAACTTTTTTCAATATATTTTTATTCAAATGTATTCAAGATCTGAAGATAATATAAACACATATTTACAGTCAACACACGCTATAATATACACGAGTGAATGAATAGTGTAATAAATGTATTGATATTTTCTATTATTTGTCTAAATATGGACTGAACTAATGATCGAAGTCATTAGAAATGTTATAACATTAATTAATTTAAATAAATAACATGATTAAATAACATGTTTTCTTCAAAACATCGCTATTAATTAAAATTAATTTGAATGCATATAAATTATATACAGGAATATATAGATCGGTATATAATAAATAGGTTTGCATTAAACTGAATAATATTAAAGAGTTATTATTGATATAATTTTTCAATAGAAAAATATTATCTACTTTTGAATATCGATTGCAACGAAATATTTCAGCGGAAAAACAAAAGCAAATAATTTTAGATAAAATTTTACAAAATAACATGAAATATTATTTTTTACGAAACTATTAATAATTAATGAATGATAGATTTGAAAATTGCAAATATTACGGACTGAGATTTGAATGCATTATTTGCATTATTTGAATGCATTGAACACATTGTGTTATTAAAAGTTTTTAATTGAGAATTTAAGATATTTTATAAATTATATTAATAGAATCTAGATTACTTTAATATGTACAAAATTAATCTGGTCACTATTCAAAAATTACAATGTTCACTTTAATGTAATTAATTTTAATTTAGTGGCAAAACTATAGTATTTAATGTATCATGCACTTAAAAGGAATTAATCTATATAGCAAATTGCTTAGCCCATTCTAATTTATATGGACATGTTCAGTACGGTCCATAGATTTATTTACCGTTGAGATAATCTGCCAATGGCCACAAATGACCGAATTATGGACAAAATTCTAAATAAATACATAGCATTCAATGCATAGACTTGTGGTGAATGGCCCTGTGCTATGTGTGAATCATCATTCATCACAACTTTTCAAAACTTTTAACGTTGCATGAATTCAATTAAATGCTATGTATTTATTTAGAATTTTGTCCATAATTCGGTCATTTGTGGCCATTGGCAGATTATCTCAACGGTAAATAAATCTATGGACCGTACTGAACATGTCCATATAAATTAGAATGGGCTAAGCAATTTGCTATATAGATTAATTCCTTTTTAGGTTTTAAATCATGATCAACGTATTATCTATTATAAGACATATTTGGTGACTAGACTCAGACCCAGTATTTATCCTGAACAAAAATAGTGTTAGAAATTATATTTGGGTAAATATTGCTAACTACACTGTACTTATGGTCACCAGTAATGGGCGCCAATGTATCGATATAACTAATATCTACTGATTCGCCAATAAATACTCTAAAAATTATGAATTTAGTGCCAGACATACAATTGGAGGCATAGAATTGTATTATTAAATTCCATATAACGGCAACCAATGGCTCTATTCTTGTCATAGATTCGGTTATTATTAGAAATAATATTTTACGGTTAGGATCCGATGAGAACATAGGATGCGGCCATTGT